AGACGATAAAATAAAAAAGCTATGTTTCATATATACAATGGAATATTACTCAGCCATTAAAAAAATGAAATCCTACCATTCACAATGACATGGACAGACCTAGAGGTTATTATGCTGAGTGAAATAAGTCACAAAGAGAAAGATAAATACCATATGATTTCACTTATGTGTGGAATCTAAGGAACAAAAAGAACTAATCAAAAACAGACTCACAAATAGAGGACAATCTTGCGATGGCCAGAGGGGAAGGGTTTGGGGGGCTGGGAGAATGGGGTGAAGGGTTAAAGAAGTACAAGCTAGTAGTTGACAGATGGTCATGGGGATGGGGAGCACGGCAGAGGGAATGCAGTTAGCATTAACATTTTGGCTAGGTGGAGGGCCAGGGGAGGGAGGGAGCAATTGGGGGGATCATTTTATGAACTATATAGATGTCTAACCAATGTACTGTATATTTGAAACTAATTAAAATAAATGAATTAATTTTTAAAAAACTGAAAAAAAAATGGGATGGGGAATGCCAAAAAGGATGGGAAGTTATTGCTGTTTTAAATGGATCGGTCAGAGAAAGACTCTATGAAAAGGTGAGAGAGCTAGCCTGGGAAAAGTACATTCCAAACAGAAAGAACAGTCAGTGCAAAGGCCCTGGATCAGGACTATGCCTGGAAAGTTTTTTTCCTCATGCCTGCCATTTTTGGAAAATATCAAGGTCAGGGTCGCTAGAGTGACCCTGAAGAAGGCAGGAAAGGAAATAATAGGAAGTGAGGTAAGATAGGTTAATGGGGGCCTAATCTTATAGGGCCCTGAAAGCCACAATGGGTTTTAGCAGAGGTAGGAGAGGATCTGACTTGGGTTTTAAAATGATCCCTCTGGCTGTTGTGAAAATATAATGGTGGAATGTAGAAGGAGGGATGACTTAAGCAACTTCTTTTATATTTATAAGGAATCTTCCCTTTTTTTATTGTTCCTGTTTTGTAGCACCTAGTTCTTATTTTATTCGTGTTATATCTTCTTGATTTTGTTAATAATATTATCCTCCCCCCCAAATTCTCTATTGTTTCCAAAATCCCCAAATTGCTCTAGAGTTAGTTGTTCTATTTGTTTATTTTAGTCATGCTGTACGTTTCTTTAATTTGCCTGAGGATCCTTGGTTATCCATTCCTAGTTAAGGATCTCTGAAATTCCTGATGTGGATTTCTCTGTTATTGTCTAAGCAGGACTGTTTTCTAGCTAGGCATCTCCCCAGTAAAGAAATTCTGACAGGAAACTTTGTGCGGACTTGGGGAAGGTGGCAACTGACAGACTATGGGATGCCCAAATACCAGAGTGAGAAGAACAAAGACTTTGTTCTGCCATAGCAAATGCCACAAGACAAGTAAAAACTGTAGTTAGAGGTTTTGCCTGAAGGTAAGTGCTAGAACTGCATGTGCTCTATGTGGGTGGAAAGGGCAGAGAGATGGGGGTTCTTACTGATGCTGGTGTCCTGTGTGCAGACCTTCAAGTAATTTCCTTTCTCTCAGCTGCACTCCTCACTTTTGCCCTACACAGTACCTGCAGACAAAGTCCAGAGCATCTCTGGGTTCCCACAGACAGACTGATGCCTATCAACTTGGCATCTCCCCATTCCTCCCCTATCTAGGTCCCAAGATGATGCAAGACAGGGTAAATTTCCCCCAGTGGGGAAGGAGACCAAGCTCTGCACCAAAAGAAGAGGGGCCTTTGGCAGAGAGTGTAGAAAGAATTCAACACACACACCAAAGTTAGAGTCAAAAGGAAAATTTATTAGAAAAGGGGTAACACTCCACAGAGTGTGGTCTCGTCTCAAAGGCAGAGAGTGAGATGGACAGTGAGAAAGACAGATTAAAGGTACTGTTCAGGGAATTCAGTGTATATATCATTCTTTAGGTCTTGTGAGTTATGGTTTAAAAGATTTTGTTAACTCATTTCCTTTAATACGGACATACAGTGAGGAAGGGGAAGGGGAAGAGTATGTAGTGTGAAAAGGTAAGAACATGTAGAGTGAAAGGCCTGCAGCAGTTCCCAGCCTTTAATCCGTAGATTCCACGTGGTTTTAGGCATAGAGAATGACTCTGTTGGTTCCTGTTTCCCCTTCACAGGTGTGGGGAATGGTTTGTTAGCAATCCTAGTATTAATCTTTCTTTGTTCTGCAGGTGTCCTCCTGGCCTGACTGCAGGGCTGATCAGCATATGAGTGTGGCTTGATTAACATTTTTAATTCTCTTGCCTCCTCCCTACATTACCTCCCCTACATAGGTCCCTGGAGGGACCGAGAGCTTCCCATACTTTTGATCTCAGTCTATCCTCATCCCACTCTAGTCCTAGGAGCTGACATTTACTGAACACTTACCATGTGCCAAGCATTCGGAAAGTACAGCTTCAATCTTTATAACAACATTATGAAGTAGGTGCTATTATTATCCTCATTTTATAGATGAGGAAACTGAGGCTACAGAGCAGTTAATTAACTTGCTCAATATTACACTGTCAGTAAGTGGCAGAACTGAGACTCAAATCCAGATAGTCTGAATTCAGTAGTTGTATTGTGAATCACTCTTATATTCTCAGTCCTGCCCTAGCCTGTCTTGGTCTCTGACTATTTTGGACATTGTAAGTTTCATGCCTGTGGGACCCCTAATTTTTATGGGAGCCTAAGTAAGTCCCTCCTATCTCAAAGTTAAAGTCAGTGTCAGAAAAGACCAAGATTGGGGTCTTGCCCCACCAACCCCTCTCTCATATCTGCTACCTTTTTAAGGTGATCAATGCTAAGTGACCTTTCTCTGGCCTCAGTTACTGGGCTCCTGTGGATGTTTATAGGAAAGAAAAACCTCACCCTAAGCCAACATAGCAAACAGACAGACCCAGCACTTTAGTATGTTTAGTTTCCATTCATCTTACAGCTGGATGAGTGAGGAAAGGGAGGCATGAACTAGCCCCTCTCCAGGCAAGATGCCAGCCCCAGCTCTTGGACAATCCTGGCTTGTGTGAGCCTCAATGCTACATTCAGAGCTTTCCCTATCCTTCGGGATAGTCCCTCCCTCTCAAGAGATTCTAAGGAGAATCAAGGGATACCTGGAGGTTTAAAAGAACAAGATTTTAGAGATCGAGCTCATACCTTCTGGACGTGAACAAGAGACCCAGGACAGAGGTGGCATCATGTCTGGGTGGAGGTGCCTCATCTCTGTCAGCTTTTTACTGACCATTCTCCTTGAACTGACATACCAGGGACCTCCTGCCCCAACCCCTCATCAAGCACAAAGGTCAGTTCTGGGATGAGAGAACAAAGCTCTGGGATTGACATGTGAGAAAATTAGCTCCTTGAGGGGAATAGGGGAAGGTTATTCAGTTTGTTTACTCAGTCCCAGGACTGATAAGCTATAGCCAGAGAAAAAGAGTTACTATTTGCTGAGCACATAACAGGTGCTGCACCAGGAATTTTAGAGTTATGATTTCATTTAATCCTTACAGCATCCCTCTGAGGTATGTTCAATTATTCTCATCACATAGAGGAGGAAACAGAGGCTCAGAGATAAGACACAGGAAGTAGCAGAACCCGAATTTGAACCTAGGTCCATCTGATTTGAAATGTCTTCATTTCCCACTGCCCCACCTGAAGAACAAATTGGATGTATGTTATGTGTGGGTAAATGGAGGGATCATGGCTTCAGAAAAGGTGAGGAAGAAGATTGATATCTTGCTGTGTGAACTCAGTCTCTGGGCCCAGTAAACACATCCATAAAATATGGACAATAATAGTACTAGCTCTTAGAGCTGATTTGAGGATTAAGTAAGATCGTGGAAGCCAAATGTTTATTGTGCTTTCAGTGTATGATTGCACTTATGAACTACAATTCTTTACACCCGAGATCCTAGAGACTATATATAAAATCTCACAGTGCCTTGCACAGAGAGTATGGCTCAATGAATGACAGCTGCTCTGTAATATTCTAAAGCATTGATGCTCAAGTAAAGTCCATAAACCAGCAGCATTATCATCATTTGGATCTTGTTAGAAAGTCAGAATCTCAGGCCCCACTCCAGACTTGCTGAATCAGAATCTGCATATTAACAAGCTCTCCAGAAGATTCATGTATACGTTAAAGTTGGAGAAGCACTTGTCCAGAGGTCCCTTGATTTGTGATCTTCTGTAAGTCTTTGGTTCTGAGACTTTGTAAAGCTCACTGAAACATTAGACGGGTCTGCAAAATGGACAACAGAGACACTGTTTTCTCTCTAGACCTCAATTTCTCCACCTATTCCCAGAGGCCTATCCAGGAGTCCTGGGTTCCCAAGTACTAGCTCATCTAGTCCAAGGATAGAGTCTACCTAACCCACCTCCCTGCCCTCTCTCCCAGCTGTTGATGATGAGTTATTCCATGCGTTCAACTGTGGTTTTCCACTGTGCTCACACCTTGGTCGCTTCTGTCCTGTTAAATCCACATGCCGAGGCCCATGAAGCCATCTTTGATTTGGATCTGCCTCACCTCGCCTTTATCTCCAATTTTACTATGTAAGTCTGCTTTCAAACTTACTACTTCGTTCATTTGTGTGTACATTCATTCATTCTTTTGTTCATTTTATCAGAGCATAGTGATGAAGAGCATGCACTCTGAGATCAGACTTTCTGAGTCTGAATCCTAGCTCTGCCCGCTATGGGACTCAGGACAAGTTACTTCTCAGAGTCTCATTTTACACATCTGTAAAATGGGGATAAAATTCAATCCCACCTGCAAAAGTTAAATTAGTTAATATATTTGAAAATATATGCTAAAATTAGTGGTGGGTGCATAGTAAGCTTTGATAATATTAGCTTGATTATTTTTTTAACAAACATTTATTGGTGCTGACTGTGTGATTTACACTGCACTGGGTACTACAGAAAGAGGAAGATGAATTGCACACAGTCCCTACTCCCAAAGAGTACATAGTTTAATGGGGGATATGAAAAAGGAAGCAGATAATTTTAATAAAGTATGCTGGGGAACAAAAAGAAGTGTGAATGTAGGATAGTGGGAATGGTGAGGCCTAGCAAGAGACAGTGGTCAGTTCCTCACCCCCAGGCAATGAAGAAAGCTTCACAAAGATAATGCCTAAACGGAGGCTTGAAGTATGAGATGTTCACCAGGCAAGAAGGGTGAGGACAGGACTGGGGAATATGGGCAAAAGGAATATAGGAGCAAATGTTCCCTCATTAGAGAGGAACTGCAAGTACTTCAGCATCATTGGAGTGTAGGGCACAAGCAAGGGTAGAGAGGGGTCAGAAATGATACTGGAGAGGTAAGGAAAGATGAGGTGGTGGAGGACTGCCAATGCCAGGCTAAATACCTAGTTCTTATTTGATGGTCTCCAAACTATCTTGTATTTGCATACCCATCAGGAAAAATTGATCATGTACTCCACAAATATGTATATTTGTTAATTTATAAATTATACGAATATACAACTGTGCAAATATATTAGGTACATTATAAAACGTATGTAAAAATATGAATAAAAGGTGAGAAAAAAACACTATAAGCAGAGTGTTATTCTTTTCCCACTCATGATTAGTCCCTAGCACCCCCTGGAGCATGAGCACCCCACTTTAGAAATAACTGGCCCATAAGGAGACTTAGCAAGGTTTTAAGCAAGGAGTGATGATAATGAAGTGGGAGTAGGCTGGAGGGGGTACAGCAGGGAAGCAGGGAGCTCAGTAAGAAACCTAGGGCAGTGAGCACAAGAGGGATGCTGAGGGTGGAGCAGTGCAGTGGCAGTGGGATTTGAAAGACCATAAGGGAGAAGAAATAACCTGATGTATATGGGAAGTAAGTAAATTGATTTCAGGTTTTCTGACCTTGTAGGTGACAGTTCTTTCCTTGAGATGGTGAATATGGAAGGAGGAGCAGATAAGGGGATGCTTAGTGGGACCTCGGTCTGCCCATATAGCACCTTAGTGTGAATTAGAAAAAGACGCCTGGCTTTGGGGAGAGAGACTCTGGACTCAGGGGTGAGTGAGGCTGATGCAGGTAAAGTTTCAGCCCTTGCTCAGACTCCTTCATTGGAGGGGGATCTTGTACTGTAAGTAGCCTGTAAGCCTCAACAACAGCCTGGGCTTTGTCATCTAAAACCTCCTGGCCTTAATGGGCAGATGGCACTCTCCTGGAGAGAGGAAAGTTTGGAAGAGGTGAAAGATATGCCCCTGGCCAGGGAGTTTAGAGGAGAGGTGTGAGATAGTCAAGGAGGGATTCCTGGAAGCAGGATTTCCATATGGGTAAGATCTAAAGAGACCAGGATCACTGCATGGAGGGGCAGGGAGACCAAAGGCAAACAAGCAGGCATAGGTTTGGAATACTGGGGCTAACTAGGGGAGGTTGTTGGTCAAATGATGCAAGGGCCAAGCAGTCAGGCAGAATTTAGATTTTTGTTGCAATAGAAAAAACACCAAAATAAATTTTTGTTTTAAATTAAGCAAAGCAGTCTTGAGGAAATGTTCCTGGGCAGACTCTGTGGAAAGTATGCTGGCTGGAGGTAGCACACACACACAGAGGCCCCAGTGTGTTTCTGCCAGACCAGCTCCACCCTACACCCCCACACTCCCCCAGGAGACCTTGGGGCAGCGCCAGTTCGGCCCACCCCGACACCAGCCCAACCACTAGTTTCAGCCACCTAGAAACACTTCCCACCTGAGTGGTCTCTTCTGCAGTCTGCATATGCTCCTTAAATTTTCCTGGAAGCTGATGCTTTGGTCCAGTAACAATCTGCCCCCACCACCCCAATATCTATGCCTCAGTTTCTCGATTTATAAAATAGAAACCGTCATTACTGCCTGCCTCTTATAGAGTTGCACTAATGTTCTCTAGGACACCAAACTATCTATCATCCTTAAAGGCCAGCTCTGACCCATCCCTTCACTTTTCAAGATTTATCCATGGCTTCCATTCTCCATAGAAGTCCACTGACATATAAATTCACTGAGTCTGGTGTTCAAAGCCCCTTATTCTCTAGGCCTACGCAACCACTCCAAACTTCTCTCCATACCTCCTTTCCCTGCCCCTCTACTACAGCCAAACCTGACTAACTACTTGCTGTTCCCTGAAAGACATTTGTGTTTTCCTACTGTCTGTCCAGAATGTTCATTCCACAAATAATTGTTGAGTGCCTGCTGTGTGCCAAGCCATATTCCAAGCACCAGAGATATAGCAGCAAATAAGATAGACAAAATCCCTGCCCTCAAGAAGCTCACAGTCCAATGGAGAAGACAAACAGGAAAAAATAAACAAGAAAATATATGTCAGTTTGTGGATGAGAAGTGCTACAAAGAAATAAAAAGTAGAGCAAGGTAGATAGAGAGTAAGTGGGAAGGTATTATTTTTGAATGTTCAAAGATGTCTCTCTTGAAGAAATGACATTTAAATAAAGATGTGAAAGAAGAGAGGGTATAAGACTTGCAAAGATCTGGAAGAAGAGAATTTCAGGTAAAGGGAACAGTAATTGCAAAGGCTCTGAGACAGAAGTGTGGTAAACAAATTTAAGTAACCAAGGACACCAATGTGGCTGTAGCAGAATGAATGGGGGAAGAATAGAAGGAGATGGGGTTAAAGAGGTAACAGTGTAGCCAGACTGTGTAGGACCATGGGAGCCTTGGTGAGGACTTTGGCTTTTAGTTTGAGTTGAAATTGGAACTATAGAGAATTTTGAGCAAAGAAGGGACACTGACTTAGGATTTAACAGGATATCTCTTACTGCTGCGAAAATAACATAATAAGGAAGGAAAGCTTTGGAAAGAGAAGCCAGTTTGTAAGCTATAGCATTTATCCAAGCAAAAGATGTTAGTTTGGACCAGAGTAATAAGAGAGTGGTGAGAGGTAGTCAGATTGTGAATGTATCTAAAGATAGAGGCAAAATTTCTGATGGATTAGATGTATAGTGTGTGAGAGGAAGAAGGGAGTCAAGCATGACTCTAAGATTTTCAGCTGAATAACTATTTCCTGAGATAAGGAAGACCAGGGGAGAAGCAGATTGGGGAGGTAGAGGAGATGCCAGGAACTCAATTTGGGATATGTTAAGCTTTAAGTGCCTATTGGACATTCTAGTGGAGATATCAAGTAAGCAATTGGATATACAGGTCTGGAGTTAATGGGACAGGTCTACACTTGAGATACACAGATTTAGGAGTAATCTATGTATAAATGATATTTAAAGCCATGGGGCTAGATGACTCACCTAGAGAGTAACTGTAGAATGAACAAAGGAGGGGAAGGGAAGGGGAATAGAGGGGAAGGGAAGGTCAAGAACCTAGGAAGAGAAGGAGCCAAAAAGGAGGCTGAGAAAGCATGGCCAGTGAGAATCATTTATCCAAATCCTCCCTTTCAGGTCGAGCACCAAGTATACTTCCTCTAGGACATTTTCTTGAAGACTTGGGCAAAAGTGCTCTCTCTCCTCTTTGAACTGCTTTACACTTTATTACCTTCATTAGAACAAAGGGAAAAACAGGAATAAGCAAGTCTGAGTTAGTATCCCATCAGTATCTGAGTTCCCCAAGGGCAAGGCATCCTCCCTAGTCAGGCCCAGATGCTTTTGTAGCAATTTGCACTCTGCTTTCACAGTTTTTACCACCTGTACCACCTACTATATTATGTACTTAATATATTTTTATTAAAGATACACGTTTTAAGATTACCTAAGTTAATCTTATCCTGAGAAACAATATCTGTGAGCTCATGGGTTCAATGTGCCACTTACATGTTTAATACACATTACAGTAATATATAATAGTTATAATTAAAATATCCATTTGTGTCCCACCTAAAAATATTTATGTGCCAAAGCATAAAATTCATTCAAGACTTTGGGAAACATAAAGTCCTAATACCAGGTTTACCATATGCCAACTGTGTGATCTCTATTTCCTCATATGACAAACAGATTTAATGATAACTGCTTCACTTGGTTTTATCTCCCTTACCTCTCTTATTTGTTCCTGCTCTCACTCTGGCTTTATGTTACTATTTTGCTATTTTTCTCTCCCTATTCCCCATCCTTCTCCTTCATCTTCATTATATGTCTCTTTCCTTCTTTGTCTCTGTCTGTCCTTCCTCTTTCCTGCTCCATCAGGACCATCAACAATACAGTCTACATTGCAGAAGTCAAAGAGAAGCACCAGGCAAAGAAAATCTATGAGGAAGTCCATCAGCAGGGAAAGACAGCTGCTCATGTGGGCATTAGGTAAGGCTCTATCCAATCAGAAGCTTGACGAGTTCATTTTCGCTGTGCGATCGGCAGCTTATACATGTTCTCACTGGGCCTCAGTCTACCTCTGTAAAGTGGATACAATGATCTCTACGTCATAAGATTACAAGATGATGTGAGTTAATGAATATCAAAGCCTGTAAGACATCAGGTGTTCAATAAATGGGAGTTTACTTCCCCATTTCCTTCCTCCTGCCAGTAGGATGTGACTTGTTTAAGAATTGATACCTTCTGGTAAGGTTATGTTCAAATGAAATTTTTTCCGAGTTGAATCCTGTTTCCTAACTGAATTCCATTCTGCTGGCAGAAATGTATTATCTTCCTTAAATGTTTCCATTCAGCTTCCAAAAGAGTTTCATCACGCACATAAATGTTACATATGGCTACAGCATACTGAGACAAGCTTAGTCTAAAGCATGAGGGAGGTCTGGGTACAAGGGGTTCTTTGAAGGAGAAGAGGCATCCCGCATAAATAGAAAACTCTTTTTGTAAAACAACTCATTAGTCCCTTATTATTTTATTCTAGATTCAGATTTTCACTGACAGTTTTCTCATGGGTAAACTACCTGTGACAGAATTTCTCAGGCAGAATATTTAGGAGGTTGAGTGAGGAAGAGAGACAGATTAATGAGTGGACAAGTGGGTGACTAACTGTGGGTAAGGGACTTAGTTGAACCAGAAGCCTGGTCATGTCTGCTGGGGCCGGGGGTGGGGGTGGGGGAGGCAGAATTAGATCATCTAACAATTCCCCTCCCCTTTCCACCCTGCTCCATGTCATGCCCAGGGACAGGGAATCTGAGAAGTTCCGCATCTCTACCAACCTGGCGGCAGGCACAGAGGGACCTTTTACCTTGGCCTATGAGAAGCTGCTGCAGGGGCACCAGGGCTAGTACCAGCTGATGGTAAGCCTGAGGTCTGGCCAATTGGTGACAAGGCTGAGTGTAGAGATCACAGTGTCAGAAAGGACAGGCATTGGATATGTTCAAGTACCACCTCTGAGGACCAGCCGCCTGTGCACCAACACGCATACAAGTATGCGGGCAGAACTACAGGTCAAGCATCAGACTGGCCATCCCTAAATGGGAAATGGCTCCTTTACCCTGGGATTCCCTCGAGTACTTCTGCTCTGTGCTAACTGCCAAGATCTCGCCCCATTCAAACAAAGAGAAGAGAGCATATTTGGAGTTAAAGATTTTTGGGTTACAAATGGTCTGATCCTTGTAAGATGTGTGAAACGGCAAATCCAATAACAACCCAGAGTAGTGACTTCCCTCATTGGAAAATAAAGATTGAGGGAGGGTTTGCTATTGTTGACAATGCTGAGGGTTGTGGAAGCCACAGTGGCCAAAACTTGCTTTCCTCTGGAATCACAACTGAGAATGGAAAGGCAGTGGGAGGACAGTATAAAGCACAGGCTGTCCTTGAGGATACCATCTCAGGGTCAGCGAGAAGTTCTAGCTGCCAGCCTTGCTTTAAATTTCATCCAGAGGTGTTCGAAGGCAAGACTGGCTACATCAGAATCACCATGTTAGAAATATAGAGTCCTGGACCCCTCCCATCTGGAGTCCGCTTCAGTAGGTTGGGGAGGGGCCCAAGAATCTGTTTCTGAGCAGTTTGCAGGTGAACTTGATGTCCGGCCAGATCAGAGAACCACTGAGCTGAACTACCCACCTCCTCTGAGAGATGAGTGGACAAGCACAGAGGCATCACCCATGACATGTGGCCACCTTCACCAACCTGTTTAGCTTGGAGATCTGGGCTAATTTGATCATGCAAACCCAGAGAGACAGTTTAGTGCATGCAAAGGAGAGAGACAGACACACAGACCTGGGTTCAAATCCCAGCTTTGACCTTCCCCTAAGGTGGGACCCCAGGCAAATCACTCAAACGCTCTGCTTCACTTTTCCCATCTGTACGGTGAGGAGATGCTATCTATTATGGCTCAGGACCATTATGAGGATTTGAGAGATTTCCTCCCTGAAAATCAGGTGCAGAATAATGAAGACTGGTGATAACTAATCATTGCATCATTGAGCACTTACTTACTAAGACACAGGCACAGCGCCAAACGCTTTACGTGAATGGTCTCATTTAATCCCCACACATGCTGGCTATGAGATAGGAGCTATTAGCATCCCCATGCTACAGATGGGGAGACCGAGGCTTAGAGGGTGTAATAACTTTCCAGGGCCCTATAGGCAGCATCTGAGTCCTTGGAGCCTGCACTCGAGCCCTGAGCTAAAAATGGCAGCTTCCCCCACCCCACCCCCACTCCTTAAAGGTTAAAACAGAGGGTAGAGCCAATCCTGTGGGGATAAAATAGAACAAAGACCTCTGAAAGGAAGGAAGCCAAGGGAATGTATGTAAGCAGGCGCCTCAAACAGTATGGGGGCTCAGATTGCCCCTAAGCTTCCTGACAGCTGTAGCAGGAAGGGGGAGGGCAGAATTCCCAAGTTTCCATTTTCTGGAAAAAGGAGGCACAGAGACATGTCTAAATGGACATTTGTCTTAGACTGAAATTCCAGAGGAGTTGATCTTGTGGCCAGCTCCGCAAACATCCGGGAGCAGAAATTCATCTGTGACTTCATGAGGCGCTAAAAGGCTTATTCACACACGTGATTCTGAGAGTCAGAAGGCGGAGGGGGGGAGAAAAGACATGACATCCTATCCCAGAAGAGAACCTTGACAGACTGCAATTTCCCACTGCGGTGAGGGGCATAGGAGGAAACCTAGGCCCCTTCTGTGTGTCTGTCTCTCTCCACAACACACTGCACACGGCCACTCTGGGAGGAGATCCGGGCTCCTGGTCTACCTGGGGACATGGCACTCCTTCAGAAACTGGGCCTCAAGATGGATGGCAAGTGAGCCAGGGCAAAGTCGTGCATGGGGGTCAGACCGCCAGAGCCGGGGAACTGGAGAGGGCCGGGCCTGTCAGGCTGGGCTTACAGGAAGAGGCAGAGCTGCTAGTAGGATTTGGAGAGGAAGGAGTGTGGCATTTGGGCAGGTGGGAGGCGCTGTAGGCAGGAGGAGCAGCAGGTGGTACAGATATTGCTCCTTTTGATGACCCTTTGCCAGGCTTTCCACCTAGTGAGCCCTCCATGCCATCCCATCCCAACCCTTCCCAACTATACAGGTGAGGGTGACTCGCCCCCATCTTCCAGAATTGAGAGGGGAGAGACCTGTGTCCGAATCACCTTCTGCCCGATGCTGCAAGACCAGTCTGCCTTCTCCAGCTCAGGCATCATGGCCGACTTTGTGGTCCAGTACGATGTAGTCATGGAGGACATCATTGGCGATGTGCAGGTGAGGGAACCAGGGGAATGGAAAGAGCATGGGCTCTGGAGACACACAGGTCTCGACAACAATCTGGCCTCCACAAGTTGCTCATTTGGATCTCCCTGGCAATCAGTGAGGACCAGTGAACATGAACAAGATATGTAGTGACACAACGACTTCACACCTTGGGAGGCACATGTGATCCCCCAAAGGGTTGGAGACCTGGAACTGTACAAATTGAATGAGGCTCCAAATGAATCTGCCCCTAATAGAATCAAGTCATAGTCACTCTTAACCGGTCCTTTTGGAAAGTGGACTATTGGCCAGCAATTGGTCTCTCGCACTCATGGGCTCTCGCACTTTCTGCAGCTCCGATACTCTGATGTTCTCTTGGGCTTCCTCGCTTTCTCTAAGTTTCAAAAATTCTTTTTGCCTCACTTGAGCCATCTGCCCAAACAGGGAGCCCTGAAATTCTGAGCTCCCGCACTCATGAAGAGCTACCAGAGAGGGAGAGCACTAACTTTATGAATTTATTTGGGGGGGGCAGGATACATCGGAGGCATCTTCAGACATCTAAGGGCACAGGTTCAACAGTGAGTGGGTATGCAGTCGTGGAAGGGGAAGAATGGAGAGCATTGGACAGGAGGAAGAGATGTGGGGTCATCGGTGGAGATTCAGCAATTGAAACCAAGAGAGCGAGCCAGATGCCCCAGAAAGGATGATAGAGCCAGAAGAGCAGATCAAGGACAGCAGTTGCTAAGGCAGAGGTTCCCATTCAAGGAGCTATTGATCTCCTCAGCCCTCAGGGTGTCTGGCCCCACCAACAGCCAACAGCCTGCTCAGAGCTCTAAGTTCCCATCACTTCCCTCCATTGTGCTACACAAACATAATCATTTTCTTGCATGCCATGTCTGAAAAGGATTGGGGAAGCACTGCTTAAGCAGGGGGGGCGGCGGGCGTCGAGATGCAGCCCAGGATGAGACTATATCAGATGGGCCAGAGAGCTGGTAGGAAAATAAGGAGAGTTCACCATCTCACAATCCCAGGGGAAAAGATTCTTGAAGAAAGCAGAAATAATCATCAATCGTGAAATTCACTGGGGAGGCGCAGTCCTATGAGAATTGAAACCCACCCACTGAGTTTGGAAACCAGCTAGTCATTGCTGCTTTTCGTGAGAGAAGGGTCAATGTGCAGTGGAGGTGGGAGCCAGTCTGTGGTGGGCAGAAGAGCGACGTGGAGATGAGAAGACCCTCGCAGGTGCTGATTTCATTACCGTGGCAGGCTACAGGGAGGAGAAAAGCTGGCTTGAAGTCTGGGTGGGGCTGGGATCAATGGGGGTTGTCTTCGTGGATGGAAAAGACACAAAAATTTTATATTCTAAAGAAGACCCTCTAGGGTGTGTGGGGTGAGTTGGAAAGCAGAGGCCTGACTGGTAGAAGAGGTGCTGGAGGCTAGGAGTATGTGGGGTCCAGGCCAGGACCATTTTGCCTTTGAGTAGAGAGAAGAGGTGTATGGGGATGTGGACCCTGTGCAAGGGTGAGGCAGGCAGTCCAAGGGACATGGCCTGTTGCCCTCAATTTTGTTCATGAGGAAGGAAGGGAGACGTTTCTTGAGAGTGGAAGGGCATGACGGCTGAAGTGAGAATGAGAGGTTGGTGACCTGGGTCATGCCTCTGGCTTATAGGATGTGAGGTGCGGGGCCACCGGTGAGCCCGGGACTGTGGACAGTTGGGCATGTGATTTTCCCAGAAGCTCTCACCTACCCTCCTCTGTATGAAAGGAACAGAGGAGGGCAGCTGGCCTCTGCCTTTAGCTTGCGGAGTTGCAGGCTGGTTGACCCAGGCCTTTGAGAACTGCTGTAGAGTGCCAGGAGAAAGTGAAGACAGAGCCTGCACATGCACTTGTGAGTTAATTCAAAGGCTGGGGTGGAAGAGAAGAGCAAGATGTCCTCCCATGTCCTCTGAGATTCCCTGAGAAAGGAGGAGATAGTGTGTCCAGCCTTGTGATCGGAGAGCGCCTGAATGGCAGAGAAGAGGTTAAGCTGGTTATCCCAGGGCAGAGCCTGCTTCAGGCTACTGGGCAGCACAGACCCTCAGCAAGCCCACACTTCCCTGGGCTGAGCTGACACTAGTCCTGGGGGCCCTCCCAGCTCCCCCCTCCCCTTCCTTCAGCTGTCCCAGCCCCCAGGCTCTGCAGAGGCAGAGATGGAGTGGGGGAAGGGGTCAGCAGCCAATCATATCTCCCACAGCCTTAGGCATCTGCACCTGGTCTAACCAATCCCCTCTGCACAACAGCTCACTCAGCCTCTGCTCACTCCTCCCCTCCTTGCTCTGCCCAGCAACAGCAGAAGGGAGGTTTAAGGAGGAGTGGGAGGAGGCCCTGCAAACTCCCAGCCCCTGGCAGCAGTGGAGCTGGGCCCCAGGCTTACTCTATAGAGGGAGGTTAAAACAATACTTTCAGTTCCTGGAGCCCAGGCACAATGTCCCTAGGGGCCCTCAAGACTGTGCAAGCCCAGCTCTCATGGACGGGAACTCATATATTACAGAGATCCTGCTCCTTGGAGCCTTGGGCCACAGGCCAGTCTAGATCACTCCACGGCTCTGGGGGCAGCTCCTGGACTGACAGTGTGAAGGCAGAGACACAGTTCTGGGGGAGGAGATGGACATTGAACAAACAACCGCACAAATGCCTATTTAACTAGAAACAGTGATAAGGCCTTGGAAGGAAAAGAGCAGTTTGTTATGTGGGAGAATAAGAAGGGGCCTGATTTAGACCAGCTTTTTCAGTTCTTATTGGTTTCATTTCTCTTTGTTCAGATTTACGATGGCTATTTTGTTCATTACTTTGCCCCCAGAGGCCTCCCACCTGTTGAGAAAAGCGCGGTGTTCATTATTGATGTGAGCAGCTCCATGTTTGGCACCAAGATGAAGCAGGTAACAAGGGCCTCGGGGACCTTTCATAGTTCTTCTAAGTCTCAGCAAGCAGACGATGCTGGAACATTGGTTCCCTGGGGCCAGAGGCCCTATATTCCAACGCCCTTGGATCTTACAGGTCTGGGTCTACCTTAGGGTCCTGGTACGTTACATATCTGGAGCCATGTAGACCTGGAGCCACAGAATTTGCGGAATATTAAAGCATTGGACCATGGGACTTGAAACCACTGAGATTCTCAACCACAAAACTCCTGGGCTCATAAGGTCTCAGAATCAAGTGCCTTTGAGCTAGAGTACTCTGTATCGTTAAATGTGAGTCAAGAAAAGTACTTATGTATTTTAGACTCTGAACATTTCTTATGCCACAGGTTTTTGCTTTTATTATTATTTTTACTTCAAAGCCAGAAGAACACAGTGTACTAGTAATGTAGTGCCTTGAAACCATAGTGTCCCGGTTCCATCTAGACTTACATCTTATAACCCTTGTATTAGAGTACCCTTCAAACAGAATATTGTAGCCATAGTCTGAAGAGATTTTGACTTTAGAGCCTGAATCTTTAGATTTCTGGAAACAGTATGTCAAACCTTAGTACTCTGGGGCTCTAGAATTATAACGCTCAAGTGTCCTGGGGCAGTATAGTCTTTGTACCTTGAATTTCTGAACCACAAAGCCCATGGGGCATAAGGCTAACCGATTTGTGTTTTACCAAAGTGTAACCAAATTGGAAGAAAGAAGTATTGAAAACTGTCTCCTTCTAGCATTCCATGTAGAGGAAGGGATATACCCAACTCCAAACCAGTTTAGCCTTCCCATCCCATTTAAGGCAGGAAAAATCTAAGGAGCACTTGTGAAGGTCATATTCCAGGGGCATAAAAGTCTGTGCTCTAAGGCTTGAATAATGAAATGTTCCTCCTCCCCCACACATTACTACCACATCAGCTGAGCTCCTCTGTAAGAATAGGAGGTTTCAGCGAAAGAATTGGAATCCTACACTTTAGTTATGAGAGAATCTTTAGGGAATCTCAAGACAACAGAGGAGAAATGAATCTGAACCCTATAAGAAATTTTAGCTCCTGACATCCGCAATCGCAGGAACCAGCAAACACAATTTAACTCTTAGCCAGATAAACATAAAACTTCACACTAATGGTCTATTTACTCAGTTCCTTTTACCTGATACATCATGTCTGGCTTTCAACAAAAAACTTACAAGGCATGATAAGAGAAAAAACAGAGTCTGAAGAGGTAAATCAAACATCAGAAATCAAATGCTGGAATTATCAGAGTGGGATTTTAAATAACTGACTAATATTCTAAAAGTTCTAATGGAAAAAGTGGACAACGTGCAAGAACAGATGGGTAATGTAAATGGAGATGGATACCCTAAGAAAATTTTTTTAAAATGCTAAATATAAAACACTGTAACAGGAATGAAGAATGCCTTTGATGGGCTCATTAGGAGACTGAACTTGGAATCAATGAGCTTGAAGATATGTCAATAGAAACTTCCCACCCTGAAAAGTAAAGAGAAAAAAAAAAAGAATGGAAAAAACCCAGAATATCCAACAACTGTGTACTATTACAAATGTGTAACATATGTGTAACAGGACTGCCAGAAGGAGAAGAAAGAGAGAAAATAACACAAGAAATATTTGAAGGAATAATAGATATAAATTTTCCAAAATAAATACCAGCCACCAAACCATAGGTCCAGGAAACTCAGGGAACACTAAGTAAGATAAATAACAAATAATCCACAGATAGGCATATCCTATTCAAACTGCAGAAGATCAAAGACAAAACAAAAATCCTGGGGGGAAAGCCCAGAGAAAATAACACCTTACTGATAGAGCAACAAGGATAAGAATTATATCAGACTTCTCTCGAGAAGCCGTGCAAGCAAAAAGAGAGTAGAGTGAAATATTTAAAATGCTGAAAGAAAGACAACTGGCCTAGAATTCTGTATACAGCAGCAGAATTGTTTTTCCAAAGTGAAAGAGAAATAAAGACCTTTTTGGCCAAACAAAAATTGATGTAATTGTCACTAGTAGACCTGCCCCACACAGGTAAATATTTTAAAAAGTTCTTCAGAGAGAAGAAGAATTGTATAGGTACTTGGATCTACATAAAGAAACGGTGTTAGAGAAGGGATAAATGAAGGTAAAATAAAATATTTTATTTTTTAATTATTTTACCTTACAGATAACAGTTTGTTCAAAATAATAATAGCAACAATGTATTTTGTGAACATAACTTATTCATAAGTGAAATTAATGACAGCAGTATTATAATGGGCAGGAGGAAGTAATTGGGAATACTTTGTTACAAGGTACAGATGCTCCTCAACTTACAATGGGGTTACCTACCTGATAAACCCATCATAAATTGAAAATATTCTAAGTCAAAAATGTATTTAACATACCTAACCTATCAAACATCAGAGGTTAGCCTACCCTACCTTAACCATGCTCAGAACACTTATATTAGCCTACAGTTGGGCAATTATCTTGAGTTTTATCTCAAGAATAATTGCCTAACAATAGAGCATCAAAATACATGAGGTAAAAACGGATAGAACTTCAAGGAGAAATAGATGAATCCACTATTACAGTTAGAGACTTCAATTCCTCTCTATCAGAAATGGACAGATCCAGCAGGCAGAAAATCATTAAGGACATAGTTGACCTGAACAGCACCATCAATAAATAAAATTAACATCTATACAATACTTCATCCAACAACAGCACAATACACATTTGTCTCAAGCTCACATGGAACATTTGCCAAAATAGATGGTATTGTTGTGAGCCATAAAACATCTTAACAAACTTAAAAGAATATAATTCATACAAAGTACGTTCTCAAACCAAATGAAATTAAACTAGAAATAAATACCAGAAAGATAGTGGGGAAAATCTCAAAATAATAAATTAAACAATACACTTCTAAAAACATAATCTGTCCCTGGTTAACAGGAGGTTTTTGGGAAAGACCATCCTCTATGTCTTAGCCCTCTCAGTAGAAACAAGAATATGGTGCTCAGCTCCCTATCCCAGAATGTGTGACCTATTCCCTGAGTTCAATCTAGGCAGCAAGGACTCTGATCCAGTTAGAAGCATTCAAGACATCTTCTATCACTTTAAGATGTAGGAAAAGGTGGGCCACAAATGGCCTTCCTGTGGTTTCTGGAATCCATACCGATAAAAAGGGTTGAAGGTATAATATCATGCTTAAAGTCACTGGATTTAACACCTCCAAAATATCAGTTTGAGTCCCTGGTCCATCGATGATTAGCTGTGTGACCTTGAGCAAGTCACTCTACTTCTTCTGAGCCGCAATGTCATCACTTGTAAAATGGGGATAATACTAGTATCTTCTTCATTGTGTTTCTGTGAGAATTAAATGAGCCGATGTATCTAAAGATGCATCTAAAGATAAGTGTCCTATAAATGATACCTAATACTAGAACTTACATACCCTATTTCCTGAACCTCTTATGTGCCTAGCCCTGTGCTAAGTACTTTCATGGAGAAGGGAGCCAAGAGAAAATAACATTCTAAGCCTTGTTCTCAGAGGGCTCAATATCTTGATAAAGGATGAAAATATTTCACATAAGACAGTCAGTGAAAAGTCTGGGACAGGGAACGTCTGGGTGAGACAAGCATGGGTCAGAATAGGCAATCGAGGAAGGGCTTCCCAGAGAAGGAGCAACTGAAGGAGTAGTGAACATATGAATAAGTAAGAGGGAAGTTGGAAGGTCTACTATCTAAAGGATACAACAAGAACACAGTTGTGGAGATAAAATGGAATCTGGGTTATCTGAGGGCTGGTGAAAAGAGCCACCTGGAAGAAACAGAGGGTGAGGTAGAATAACAGATTATATGAAACAGACTAAAGTATGCAAAGTCATTGAAAAATACCTATAAAGACCTGGAATCATAAAGCTCTTAAACTTTAGGGTCCTGGAATCATTGAATCCTGAGTCATGGGGTCCAGGAACCCTAGAACACATGAATCCTAGCACTCTGAAAGCGTAGAACTTGAACATTACAAACCACCACTGTCCAATAGAACTTTCTTGATGATAGAAATGTTCTAAAAATCTGAGGTTTCCAACACAGTAGCCACTGGCCACATATGATCATTGAACACTTAAAACATGGCTACTGCAAGTGAAGAAACATAATTTTATTTTTTTCTTTGATTTTAACTAACTTACATTTACATGTAAATAGATCCATGTGACTAAAAGCTGCCATTGGACTTGCAGTTCTGGGCGTTGGACCTTAGAGCCTATAGAGCGTTTTGACCTGAGAATCTTAGACTTTCAGAGTGCTGGAGTCAGAGAGTCTTAAAACCATACAACACTTAGACATTAGTAACTTGTATATAAAGAGCCTTTTGGTCTTGAATAAGACCTCAAGTCTTGGTCCATCTCCTTGACTTATCCATATCCCACAGACTAAAAAGGCCATGAATGTGATCCTTGGTGACCTGCGGGCCAACGACTACTTCAACATCATCTCCTTTTCTGACACAGTTAGTGTCTGGAGAGCTGGAGGCTCCATACAGGCCACCGCCCAGAATGTCCACAGTGCCAAGAACTATCTGGGCCACATGGAAGCTGATGGTTGTGTTAGACCTACCCACCCATATGGGCAAGCTGAGGTGATATGGGAAATTCTTGAAAGGCTCCCTTCATACCCCCATCTACTTCACCTCTCACAATGCTTGGAATATCACTATTATATTTTATACAAATATGTGCCTTGTGTTCTTTTTCCTAGTGGAAAGAACATAGCTGATTCTCCATGTATTTTAGGGCACATTCCTCTTTGGACTGGAGTTTCCTCCTCTTTAAAGCACATGCGTAGAAGAATTTGCTAAGGCTTTTTTTTTTTTTTTAAATCAATAATCTAGATATTTGTTTCCAAACATTTGAGAAAGTTGCTGTCCTGATTCTGGTTTTTGATCAATCCTCCTTCAGACAATTACTGACATCTCACCACCACCACCACTTCCTGTCAATTTAGCCCTTTCTTTTCCTGTAGCATGGAGGTGGGGGTGCTATCCTTGGGGAGCTGCCAATCCGACTAGTGAATGAGAGATCCCCCAAGGAAACAGAGCACAGTCTGATATGGCGAGTGATAAAAGCTAAGGACATGTGGGTTCCACTATCAGATCTCAGGGAGCCTTGTGGGGGTGGGGGACTTGGGAAGGATAAGCTGCAGAAACAGTCTAAGCAAAGATAAGGAAATAGGACTGAGCCTGGGAGGTTGGTGGGGTGCCCAGTGTGTCTGCAGTGGGGGTAAAAGTAACTAGAAAAGATGGTCTCACATTCTACTCTCCAATTAGGGACCGACATCAACGCAGCTCTGCTGGCAGCTGCTTCAGTGCTGAACCATAGCAACCAGGAGCCTGAGAGGGGCTCTAGTGTGGGGAGGATCCCTCTCATTATCTTCCTGACAGATGGGGAGCCCACAGCTGGCATGACAACTCCCAGTGTGATCCTCTCAAATGTCCATCAGGCACTGGGCAACAGTGGATCCCTTTTCAGCCTGGTCTTTGGGGATGATGCTGGCTTCCCACTGCTCTGTCACCTGTCCTTGGAGAACCAGAGAGCAGCCCAACTCACATATGAGGACACTGATGCAGCCCTACACCTGGATGGTCTCTATGAGGAGATCTCCATGCCTATGCTGGCGGATGTGCATCTGGACTACCTGGGTGGCTTGGTTGGAGCCTCCCCTCGGGCCCTTTTCACCAACTACTTTGGTGGCTCAGAGCTGGTGGTGGCGGGCCTGGTGCAGCCAGGTGAGCAGGAACTGGGCATCCACCTGGCAGCCTATGGCCCCAAGGGTCAGCTTCTCGTGGCCCACCACAGTGAGGTGGCCACCAACAGCAGCCAGAAGGCCTTTGGTTGCCCAGATGAGCCAGCTCCCGGTATAGCCCACTTCATCTGCTGCCTCTGGGCCTATGTCACCATTGGAGAACTGCTGGAGGCACGCTTCCAATCCTGTGACACCACCACTCGCCATTTGTTGGCTGCCAAAATCCTCAACCTGTCCCTTGAATACAACTTTATCACACCTCTGACATCACTGGTCATGACACAGCCCAAGGAGGCCAGTGAAGAGTGTAGGAGACAGACTTCTACCACAATTGCACCAGGTACCATCATGACCTCATCCACCAACAGACATGGCCTAGGGACAGGCACAGCCCAGCCAGGTTTGGTGCCCAAGGTCTCTCTCAAATCAAAGCTTGTGAAACCAAATTTCTACTTATCTTCAACCGCTCCTGCCTCTACAAAGAAGATGGCCAGTTCCAAGGAGTTGGAGCCAATGGGTCAGAGCCCTAGTACTCTATCTACCCCATCACATCCAAGGCCTAAAATTTCAGCACAACACAATTATGGCACCTTGGCTCAGCCAATTCTCAGGACAAAACCTGCTGCCCCCGTGCCCTCAAATTCAGAACCCCTATTGCTTCTGAAGCCCAGCACTCCAACACATCAGAATCTTGAAATCCTATTAACCATGAATTCCAAGACACAATCCCCACCTTTGAATCTTGGCACCCCAGCCCAGCCCAAAGCTGGCACTATGAAACATGTCACTCCACTGCATTCCAACCTGGTGCTCCATCACAACCTAAAATGGATGCCCCATCATATCTCTAGCCTGGGGTACTCACATCACAGTCACCCAAAAATCTGCCATGGCTCAGTCCTGGGACTTCCATCCCCAAACATCCACACACACCAGACCAAGGGTTCCCACTCCCAAGACTCCAAACAACCTGTTACACCCTAGACCTACGATCCTCTTGCCCAAGGCCCTCAAAGTCCCATCACCCCTAAACCTAGTGTCCCACCTCGCCAAACTTTCCCAAGCTTATCACTTTCCAAACCTAGGACCTTAATCCCCAATAAACCCAACTTCCCATTATCCTCCAGACCTGCCAGACCCGGGCCCCCACCTCCTCAGAGCCTAAGCATATTCCCAAGCACAATCTCAAATCCTACAATTCCCAGAAGTAACATGATTACCTCTGTCCTTGGAGAACCCCTCCCTACTCCCTTTCATCCTACTTTGCCCTCTCTGCTGCCCCCTGGAAAGCTCTGGCATCAGCATGACCTGCTGCCAGGGCCCCAAAGCACAAGGCAAATTCTGGGGCCATCTGTGTCAGGAGTCCCAACAATGGATCCACCCAACAGCTCCAGGCCTATATCAGAAAACAGCCCTCTGAACCCGCCAGTCTTGCTGCCTTCCAGCACCCTCCCTGAAGCAGTCAGCCTGCTCCTTCTCCCTGAGGAACTAGAACTGCTGCCTGAGTCAATAGTGGAGTCCAAGTTTGTGGAGTCCTTGAACCCACCAGCTTTCTATACGTATCTTCCTCACTCCTGATGAAGATGGTGAGTGCCACAGGCAAGAGGTCAAGACATGAGGGGGAGGTATGAATGGAGAGCACCAGAAACTTCGAGTTTACAAGGCTTATGCAGATTTCAGTGATAATACAGCTGCTTGCTTGCTTGCTTGCTTGCTTGCTTGCTTGCTTGCTTGCTTGCTTGCTTTGAGACTTTCAACTAGCTCCTTAACTTGTCTGGGCCTCAGTATGTAGGCAAAGAATTAGAGGCCCTGGGAGAAGAGGGTTGTTAAGACTGGAAAGGCTGAACAAAAACAACCTGGCCAAGCTGTGGCTTTGACATTTGTTTTGTTGGATAAGAGAACTGTTCATGCTTCCCAAGCAGGGGAGGGATGTGTGATTATAAGTGGGAGCATCACTGGGCAAGGCAGGTCTGATTGGTTCTTTCATGCTCTGTGAATAGCACTATTTAACAAAAGGGGTATAAAAAATTAGGAAGATGATGACAATTATCTTTAAATTTCCCAAAGACTGTGAAATAATAGCAGTTAACATTTTTGAGCTTTTCCTGCGTGCAGCAACTGCTCTACATGTTGAACCTGTAGTCCCTCATTTAATCTTTACAAGAAACGATTAATATCCATATTTTACACATGGAGAAACTGAAGTACAGAGAAGTGAAGTAACTTGCTCTATGTCACACAGCTAGTAAGAGAGTTGAACCTACATAATCTGGTCCCAGACTGAATGTGCTTTGCCTCTCCACTATTCTGCTTGACTGAGAGGAATGACATTTCTTGGGTGACTTTATGGGGCAGGATTAGAACTAGTTGGGGTAATAATAAGTCACAAAGATACAAATTTGGGCATGACATCCTCAACATGCCCCTCTCCCTCACCAGCCCCCTTCCTAATATTCCATCCATCTTCAATTCCTGATAATGTTACCTCTAATATACTTGCCAAATGTGCCCACTTCTCGCCAACCCAACTGTCACTATCCTAGGTCAGACTACCATTTCTGTCACCTAGAAAACTGTTTCAGCCTCCTCATTGGTCTCCCTGCTTCCTCTCTTGAGAGGATCTCTTGGCCATTCTCTTCCAGCTGCCAAAGGGATCTTTTAAAAACATAGATTACATCATGCCCCTTCCATACTTAACCCCTAAGGATTTCCCTTCACACCTAGAATGAAGTCCGAAGTCTTCTTAATGGTCTACAAGGCCCTTCCTGATCTGCCCTCTACCCCAAACCTCTCTGACTTCACCTCTCTCACTCACTCTTTGAACTCTAGCCCCATTGTCCTCATCTCTGTTCTTCCAATGGACCCTGGCCCCACTCCCACCTTCACTCAAGGATCTCTTTCAAGTTGTTTCCTTTGCTTAGTAATCTCTCTGACCTGCTTTACCCTGTTCCATTTTTACCACCCCTACTTGTTCCATAGCCACTCACACTTCAGCTCATGACTTAGATCTTAGCTCAGAGGTCCTTCCCACCCACCCTCAGCACCCCAGACTACATTAAATGTCTGCAACTCCTTCAGTCACTCTGTTTTTCTAAAAGCATTTATCACACAAGTAATTATGATTTCATTCATGTCTGCTTCACTGACTAAAACATGAACTTCATCAGGTCAGAAATCATGACTGCCTTTTTTACTACCATATCTCTGATGCCTAAACAGTGCCTGAATGAATGAATGAATGAATGAATGAATGAACAAATGAATAAATGCATAAATGCTGTGAGGGAGAATTTTGAACATAACTAAACTTGAAAGACTAGGATGCTATGGAGAGCATAAGGTCCCAGTCTTGGCAATATGCAGGTCAAATGGGAAGACCATGAGGACTCTTCTGGTCAGAAGGAAGATGTGTCCTTTGGTAAGCCCAGGACATCATTGCCCTGGGAGTGTGAAAGATTTTTCTTATTTCTTTTGTGCTTGGCAGGAAATCCACATTGGGAAAGCAATTCTGAAGAGATCCTGGGAGGAGCTGGAGGCAGCATGGACTCTCAGGGAAGTTCTGTGCGTCCAGAAAAAGGTGAACAAGGAGCTCTCCTAGCAAAAATCCCTAAGCTTTCATTTCCATTCTCATAGGCATTACATAAGCCCAGAGGAGAGGCAATATATTAGTTTTCTATTGCTGAATAAGAAATTACCACAAATCTTGGTAGCTTAAAGTAACATCCATTAATTATCTCATAGTTTTATAGATCAGAAGTCTGCACATGGGTTAGTGGGATTCTTTGCTTACAGTCTCACAAGACTAAAATCAAGGTGTCTATCAGACTGAGTTCTCAATCTCATCCATGTTCATTCAGGTTGTTGGCAAAATTCAGTTCTATGCATTTGTAGGACTGAGATCCCTCTCTGCTTGCTGGCTATTGGCTGGCTGGCAGTCACTCTTAACTTCTATAGGCCACCTGAGCCACTTTCAGGTCCTAGAGGTCTTCTGCATTCCTTTCCATAAGACCCCATCCATCTTCAAAGACAGAGAATCTCCCTCACATCAAATCTTTTTCACACTCCAAATCTCTGACTTCTCTGATTCATATTTAAAAGACTCATATGATTGGGTCAGGCCTTACTACGGGATAATCTTTCTATTTTAAGGTCAATTGCACCACATAACATAACCTATTTATGGGAATGATATCTTATCATATCACAGTCCTGGGAATTTTATAGGTTGTGTACACCAGGGAATCTTGGAGGCCAATTCTACCTACCGTAGGCAGAGAGTAAAAGAAAATAGGATAAGAGTTAACCTGGAAGGATAACTATAAATTGATCCTTAGTAGCTAAGGAAAAGGAAAACATTCCAGTGGCAGGAAAACAGAAGCAAAGACTTACATGCTGAGCTCAGAAATTTAGCCCTTATCTAGGAGGGCATGACCCAGAGGCCAGGGTGTCCCAGAGTTCCAAGAAATATAATAGGTCGGTCCCTTACCAACACGGTCCTCCTCTCCTTTGCAGGCATGTTGCCAAGCATCTTCACTTTCTCATCCTCAGGTAAGCCAGCTAATCTCACTATACTGTTTGAGTGTAAGACAGCTTGTGCACTGGGACTGGAGCTGGACTCTCTCTGTCTGGGGAAATAGACATGGCCTCCTACCTTCCTCCCTCCTGCACTCTCTTCTCCTCCCATTCCTTCTAAAGCCAAAACTTCAGAGTTTTATCTCCTGCCTTATAGTGGATGGAGATCCCCACTTTGTGATCCATGTCCCATGCTCAAAAGAGAGGATCCGCTTCACACTTGATGGGTGCCCAGGGGACCTGCTACAGCTCATAGATGACCCAAAGGCAGGTGAGAGCCCCAAGGACTCAACCCCATATAACACCACAGCCATATATACTCATGTCAACACCCTCAGACATTTGTGGACTAATACAAACACACAGCAGTGCATATCACATATACACAAGCAAACACGCAAATGAAAACATACATGAATACATTCAAACACCAAGACACTCACAGATATACACACACAGACACACACTAGGGCATATAGTAAACTCACACAAATACACACACAGACACATATTTTCACACTCTGCACACCCACACAGGTAACATACAAATATGCACTGATACACAGTGACACACAATAAATTCCCAGATATATACAATGGCACATACATCAACACACTGACATACATGCACTGATACCCTAGATACATCTTAATACCCAGGAATTCAACACACACAGGCTCACATACTCTACTACTCTAAACATATAAAACACACCAATGCACACAAAAACTCATCATGACACACCCTGATACAAGCACACTGACACCCCTAGATATATATCAGTATCTAACAACACACAACCAGACACATACAACATAAACTATTCACCGAGACATGTAACACCAACATATCCAGAGATAAACATAAATATACAACCAAAAAAATACACACTTCAACATAGTACTTTCCCAAAATATGCAGAAGCACTGATAGACCCAGAGATACTCATGTAAACATAACCAAACACAGACATTTACACACTCAAAGGCAATCACACACAATCAAACAGCCCTACTGGGGTGGGCATGTGCCCACATAAATGTATGCCCACACACTTCATAGGAAGGAGCACCTAGGTGAGTTATAGTAGAAGCACTTTCCCTAGGAGCTAGCTTTCTAACCACAAATCTGTACCCAGGCTCTGAGAACTCACTCCTTTCTGTGCTGTGAGTGACCACATAAATGACCATGTAAAGACCATCCTCCAGACCCACACTCTCCTCCCTTCAGGGCTGCATGTGCATGGACAGCTGCTTGGGGCACCACCAAGGCCAGGCCATGAGGACCAGATTCGCACCTACTTCCAGATCGTCACAGTCACCACAGACAAACCCAGGCCTACACTATCAATATCACCCACAGTTCCATTTATGTGCGAGGCGAGAGTACCTTGCTTCTCTCCTGGGACCAATCTACTTTGCTGAGGAAGTCCCAGATAGAGCTCCATGTGGCTGCTGCAGCCCACCTCACCTTCCGCCTTGGGCCCCATCTCGAGTTCTTAGTCCTTCAGCACTGCAGCAGGCACTCTAGCACCCTGCAACTACCACACTTGGGGTTTTATGTGGTCAATGGCTCAGGCCTCAGTCCCTTGACTCATGGCCTGCTGGGTAAGTACTACTGAGGCTGAGAGGGGCCAGGGAGCATCAGTACCCTCTCTAACCACAAAGAGGAATCAGACCCAAGCTCTGCCCTTGGAGAGCTCCTGGTCTGGGAAGAAGACAGACCCAGACATAGATAGTGATCCAGGAGCTATCAGTGCTAGTTAGAAAGCTGCCCAGGGTGCTGGAGGAACCCAGGGTGGGACACCTCACCCAGCCTTGGAGTTCAAGAAAGATCTCCTGGAAAAGAGAGACCCACAGTCTGAGAGGCTGAGCAAAAGTAGCAGAGGAAAGAAATGGAGGTTAGAGAAGATGGAGCAGGGGTGATCAGAGTAGAATGCTAAAACAAGGAACTTGGCTTTATCCTGAAAACAATGGAGAGCCATGAAAGGTTATAAGTAAGGGAAAGACAATCAGATCTGGGAATAACAAAGATCCTTTTAGAGGCTTCTGTGAAGGGGGATTACAGAAAGTCAGACTGTAGGTCAAGAGACACAGGGCAGAACCTGAGACAGAGGCCCACGCCAATGATGAGCAGTGATGGTTGGGTTGGACAGATATTTTTTACTTCCTCTGGGCCTCCCCACTCCTCTCCTGTCCTTCCTGCAAATCTGCCCTGTCATCGCCTCCACAGCTGACTGTGTCTCTTTTGCTGCCATCTCATCCACCTTGGCTCCCTACTTTCTTATACACCCCTGTCCCATCTGGCTCTACCACATTTCCCACAATTCCTAGCCTTTTTTCTCCTCTAGACTTTTGCTGTCTGTCGTCCTTCTCACTTTTCCTTCTAAATTTCCTGCTGTAGGCTCCTTTCAGCGCTCTCAATGGGGACTCAGGCCACTGCCCTGACTGGTGCTGCAATCTTTCTCCCTCAGGACAGTTCCAGCATGCAGACATTCAACTGGTAGCAAGGTCTACAGGGCCATGCCTACGGAGGCACCAAGGCCCAGATATACCTGTAGTTCTAGGAAAGAAGCTGCTGAAGGATTCACCAAGGCTGCTGCCCCGCTGGGCTTCCTGCTGGCTGGTGAAGTGCTCTCATGTACAGCAGCTACTGCGCCACCCATACCTTGCCTATGTCCTCTGATGGCGCCTGAACCCCAGAGCCAGGAGACCTGAGTTTAGGAAACCCAGAGGGCAGGCATGGGGTGATCTAAGAACAAAGACCTAGGGACATGAAGACACACACAGGGAAACACACACTCACACATACACTATGTGACACATACACAAGGACACGCACACACAGACATGCAGACCTACGGACCTAGAGACTTAGTTAGATACTCCTGCCTCTTCAGTCCTTCCTGTCTCCAGTCTCCATTCTCTTCAATCCATACTTCACACCAGCTTTAGAGGTGGCTTTCTTAAAACAAAAATGCTGAGTCACCAGTCCTGCTTACAACCTTGTCTGGCTCCCATGGTTATACTTAAGGCTCTTGGAGTTCCCCTAACAAACCATATGCTCTCCCACTGCTGGGCCTTTGCATATATTTTTTCTTCTGCATGAGATTTCCTTCCTTGGCTCCATATAGGTAGGTTTTACACATCCTTCAATTCTTAGTTGTCATCTCCTCTAAAAGGCCTTCCATGACCCCTCTTCTAGATTGCTCTCGGTCTCCTTCTGTGTTTTCATAGCCCACCCACCCCACCCAAGCTCACAGAATTTATCATACTAAGTAGTAATTGTCTGTTTATTTGTCTAGGGGATGCTGGGGGATCTCTGACTTAGACTGTGAGCTCTTTGAGGGCAAGGACCTTTTCTGAATCATCTATGCCTGGCACATAATAAATGTTTAGTAAATAGTGCTTAGTAAATACCTGCTGAATGAATTAATGAATGAATGAACCAATAAAGGAAGCCACGATACAGCAGTAGACACACACAAATACACACTCACAAAGACACAGGATTATACACAGAAAGACAGCAACAAGGACACAGACATACATAGAAAAATAGTGTGATAGAGACATTCAGAAAAACAAGGCATGAGAATCTCAAAACAAAGAATGGATGTAGGGACACATAGGCATACAAAGAGGGGAACAGGAAGCCAGAACGACAGCATCAGGGACATAAACACAGAGAAACAAATGTTCTCTTGTTGGGCTTCTGTATCCCCATTTTGAGGTACATTTTGAGGTACTGTCCCTGTCATAGACAAAGACACAGGAAGACAAAGAGAAGTTTACCCAGAGGTAGACACACAATGACTACTATAAAGACACTGAGACATAACAACATACAAACTAAGGGATAGATATGCACAGAGATCCACATACAGGAGCATAGAGATCAAGATACACGGTGAGACATAGAAACACAGGGATACAGAGGTAACCAAGGAGATATCAGTCAAGACCATATTCCAAGACACCAAGGACAGAGAAGTAGAAACACAGAGACATGCAGATTTTGGGTGGGGGATGAGAGTAGAACATAGATACACAGGGCCAGAGACCTACAAGTATGTAAAAAAAGACACTACACAGACCCAGAATTTGTGACAAAGATCCAAGGACACTGTTACAGGCAGAGGAACACACTAAGAGTGAGACAGGAACACAGACATATATATTCTGATATCCAGTGACAAAGACATGGGGATGGAGACACATGAAGAGTCACAAACACTAGCAAAAAGATAGGGGCTAAGGGTCAGGCCAGGAAACAGAGACATAAAGACAGGCAGGTGGATTCCCAGGTATGTTGGAGACATCGTAACATAGTGACAGGGACATAGGAATTTAGAGAGAGAAATCCTAGAACAAGTAGAAATGAGGATGTGAACCCACAAATACAGTCTTATAGATGCAAGCTAGTCATAGGGACAGAAACACTGGGACACGTCTGGTGGGATCAGGAATAAAGAAACCTAGCCACATAGTAACAGATACACAGAACATAAACAAATGGGTAGAACACAGTGACAAGGAAATCTATCCAGAGAGTCAGGGATGCAAAGACACAAAATCAATATATACCTGGGGCCACTTGGAAAGAGAGACACACAAAGAGGCAACCAAGGCCACAAACAAAGGGATGGAGACAGTGAATCAGATCCAGGGACACAGAGATAGTGGCTCAAAAATAAAAAGACATAGATCCAGATACCAAACACAGACAGACAGGGACACAGAAGTGGTGAGTCAGATCAAAACAAAACCAGGGACAGAGCAAGACAGAAAAAGAAGCAGATGCAGAGAGATACCCTGTCAAACAGATCCATAGAAACAAGAACAAAGTCATGGAGATCCAGAGAAAAAAAATCAAGGACTAAAAGAGAGTTATTGAGTCATAGAACAATTTAAGACACAGCCACAGCAATGTAAAGAAACAATAATATAGAGACACTGACAAAAGCTGGGAAAAATAAATGGAGAAGTGGGGTAAATACCAAATCACATAAAAAGAAAACAAAGTCCCAGAGATGCACAGACTCTGGGACTCACCAACAAAGGGCATTCAGAAGGAGGTACAGGCAGATTCAAGAGCACAGACACTGGAATACAGAAGCTCAGAGAAAGATGCCCAGGAATAGAGAGACTCTGGAACACACTTAAAACGGAACACTGAGGTTCAGGGATACACAAAGATTTGGGAATGTACAGAGATAAGAACACACAGACACTGGAACACAAAGGCTAATGGTCACTCAGACTCAGAAATGCAGACATTAGATCACATGCAAAGATGCAGGGACATGTAAAGATTCAGGGACATGTAGGCTCAGGGATGCACCATGACTCAAGGACACATAAAGACTCAGGAACATGCAAAGATTCAGGGATATATAAAGAATCAGAAACACACAGAAACTCAGTGATGCACAGAAAAAAGGGATGTATAAACATTTAAACACGAAGGTCCATTAGATGCCAGACACTGAAACATAGAGATCCATGAGCACACTGAGACAAGAAGACACAGATACTAGATTACAGAGGCTCAGGATATGTAAAAACTCAAACACATTCAAGGACAAGGATGCATATGCACTAAAACACAGAGATCAGGGACACACAGAAACAGAGACATACAAGTAGGGGAATACAAATGAAAACTCGGGGACACTCAGAGATGGAAATGTACAGACACTGAAACAGAGATTAATGGAATGTACAACACAGGCATGCATAAAGAACGAGATGGAGAAACTCACAGACTTACAGAGGACCAAAGACATGCAGATACTAGACTACAATATACAATTGAAACCATAGACACCAGAACACAGAGACATTGGGACACAGGAACCTTGGAAAATTGAAATATGCAAACACTGGAACTAAACCAAAACTTGCTCATACAGATATTAAGATATACACAGCCCTTTGAAAATACAGGCAACCACTAACACACACAGAAACACTGACACATACAAACACTTAACACACATGGACACTAGAACAGATGTCAGAAAACACAGGAATGCTGGTACACAAAGACAATAGGACCGGATACTACTACACAGGTACTGGTATATGCAGACGCAGGGATACACAGGCAGAGGGACATATAGAACCACACACACACACACACACACACACACACACACACACACACACACACTGGGATACACACCACTAGGACATAAGGAAATGAGTACAAAGACTGAAGCACACAAAAACTAAAACTCAGAGACATATGGTAATATGCTGACACTGGGAAACACAGACAGCAGGATACCTACACTAAGGCACAGAGACACAAGGACATTCAAAAACACTGAAACATACAGACACTTTGACTCACAAACAGTGGAACAAGCAAACACTGTAATGTACAGACACTGGGCTACAGATATTGAGGTACACAGAAATACTGAAACTAAGAAATACATGTAATATGCAAATGGTCACTAGCGTACACAAACACTGGGACATATAGAAACTGAGGAACACAGATATTGGGACATACACAGTCATCAAGACATGTAGACACTAGAATATACAGTCATTAGGACATAAACAGATATTAGGACATCCAGGCATTAGAGTACAGAGAGGCTGCGATCTACAGATACTGGAAAATATACAGATACTGGGAAATACACAGATACTGAAAAATTACAGACACTGACACACAGTAATTTCAATTCACAGACACTGGTGCACAGTTGAGTAGAGACAGATATTGGGACTTATACACATTGGAGTTCAAAGACACTGGAATACATAAATATTGAGACACATAGCACTTGGGTATATAGACACTGGGACACAGCTCCTGAGACACATAGACACTTGGATATACAGACATTGAGAGATACAGTCACTGCAACATTCAGGCATTGGGAAACAGGGTGCACAAACACTGTTAAAAACAACCACTGGGACATACAGACACTGAGACACACAGACATTGAGACACACAGACACTGCAAACACTTAAACCTACAGATACTAGGACACACAAACACTGGGATATACAGATACTTGGATATAGTTTCTGAGGCACACAGAAACAGTTGCTCAATAAATATTTCCCAAGTATGGTAAGCTAGTAACACAAGGAGGAAAATGTAGCGGATGGAAGAGAGATGTCCTTCTTGTCCTCCTCCCAGCCTAGTTGGAGTGCTCCACCCACACAGAAGCCCTTTAGCAAATAGCACCAAATACTCTGAAACAAGGTTTAAGGAATGCAGGGTTTTTAAAGGAAGTGAAGCTTGTCTTGTACCTTCAGAAATGGGTAGACTTCAGAGAAGAAAAGAAGAGGAAGAGAGCATTGTATCTAGTCTAACTTTTAACTCCCTTCTTTCTTATCTGGTCCCCTACCTGGCCCCTGGCTGTCTGAGTAGCTATTCACATTGGAGCCAGAAAAGCTTTGGAATGCCTAGAGGGTTGGATATCACCAGTGCCTCTGGAGTCTCAGGGCTAGAGCTGAAGGGCCACTCTGGGGCCAAAAGCAGACAGATACATGATACAAATGTCTGGATGGTACAGACTGAACGAAGTCCAGCAATGGTCTCCTCCACTGTCACCCACTCGAGTGGGTACTTATATATACCATTTCCTTTTTCCATGCTATATGACCTCAAGTTGGTCAGTTCCTCCCTCTAAGTCTCCATCTCTGCTCTGTAA